TCCAGCAATCCTTCCGCCTCAGCCTTCCAAGTAGCCGGAATTATAGGCATGCGTTACCACGACTGGCCGATTTTTTGATTTATTGTAGAGATGAGGTCTCGCTGCCCAGGCCGGTTTCGAACCTGCGGGCTCAGGCAATCCACTCACCTCAGCCTCCCAAAGGCACGGGATTACAGGCTGAGCCACCGAGCCTGGCTCCTTAGCATTCTTAACACAAACCCTCCTGGATTTCTCCAACTCCTTAGTCATTCTTCAGATTCTTTTCTAAGTTCTTCTTCTTATATGAAATCATTACATTTTAGTGTCTTCAGGACTCTTTTAGGCCTCTATCACTCTATGCTTTCTTCCTGCATGCTCTAATCCACTCCAATGGCATCAATTATCATCCATATATTTTCAGTCCAGATCTCTTATTGAAACACAAGACTTACATATATAACTGATCTCTTAACATTGCATAAATTCCTCACAGAAGCCAGACACAGCCAGGCTCAGTGGCTCAAGCCTATAATCCCAATACTTTGGGAGGCAGAAGCGAGAGGACTGCCTGAGCCCAGGGGTTGAGACCAGCCTGGGCAACATGGTGAGACTTTGCCTTTACAATAAATCAAAAAATTAGCTGGATGTGGTGGCACATGCCTATAGTTCTAGCTACTTGGAAGGCTGAGGCACAAGGATTGCCATAGCCCAGAGCAACATGGTGAGACCTCACCTCTACAATAAATATAAAAATTAGCTGGGTGTGGTGGCACATGCATGGAGTTCCAGCTACTTGAAAGGCTGAGGCACAAGGGTCGCCTGAACCCAGCGGGTCAAGGCTGTGGTGGCCATGAGCGTGCCACTGTACTCCAGCCTGGAAGATAGACTGCGACTCCAACTGAAAAAAAAGAAGCCAGACGCACTGGCTCATGCCTGTAATCTCAGCATTCTGGGAGGCAGAGGCGAGACGATTGCCTGAGATCAGGGGCTTGTGATCAGCCTGGGCAACTTGGCAAAACCTCATATCTACAATAAATAAAAAAATTAAGCCGGGATCAGTGGCTCAGGCTGTAATTCCGTGCCTTTGGGAGGCTGAGGTGAGTGGATTGCCTGAGCCCACGGGTTCGAGACCTGCCTGGGCAGCGAGACCTCATCTCTACAATAAATCAAAAAATCAGCCGGGCGTGGTAGCGCATGCCTGTAATTCCAGCTACTCGGAAGGTTGAGGTGGAAGGATCGTGGGAGCCCAGCAGGTCGAGGCTGCGGTGGCCGGGAGCGGCCACTGCACTCCAGTCTGGGTAACAGAGTAAGACTCCAACTCCAAAAAAAAAAAAAAATTAGCCAGGTCAGGCACAGTGGCTCACACCTGTAATCCCAGCACTTTGGGAGGCGAAGGTGAGAGGACTGTCTGAGCCCGCGGATTCAAGACCAGCCTGGGCAACTTGGCGAGACCTCATCTCTACAATAAATCAAGAAAAATTACTGGGCGGGATGGTACATGTCTGTGGTTCTAGCTACTTGGAAGGCTGAGGCAGAAGGACTGTCTGAGCTCAGGAGGTCAAGGCTGTGGTGGCCGTAAGTATGCCACTGCTCTCCAGCCTGGGTGACAGAGTGAGACTCCGACTCAAAAAATAAAAAATTAGGGCAACCCCTTCGGGTCCCCTCCCACTGTGGGAGATTTTCTGTCCTCTCAATAAATCCTTCTTTAAAAAAAAAAATTAGCCAGGCATGGTAGCATGTGTCTGTAGTTCCAGGTACTTAGAAGGGTTGCCAAAGCCCAACAGATCGAGGCTGTGGTAGCCGTGAGCACGTCACTGCACTCCAGCCTGGGCAAAAGAGTGAGACTCCAACTCAAAAAAAAAAAAATGGCATTACCACTCCATTCTGTGAGCAAGGAAGGCTAAGTAATTTGCCTACAGTTCAGTTTGCCCTGAAACCTTAAAGCAAATGAATGGCAGAAGCTGGGCACGGTGGCTCAGCCTGTAATCCTGTGCCTTGGAAGGCTAAGGTGAGTGAATTGCCTGAGCCTGTGGGTTCGAGATCCGCCTGGGCAACTTGGCGAGACCTCTCATCTCTACAATAAATCAAAAAATTAGCCAGGCATGGTAGCGCACACCTGTAGTTCCGGCTACTTGGAAGGCTGAGGTGGAAGGATGGCCGGAGCCCAGCAGGTCGAGGCTGCGGTGGCCGGGAGTGGCCACTGCACTCCAGTCTG